AAGTGATAAACCTGTATGAGAAAGTAGTTTCTAACGTTGAGTTGCTTGTCTAAAACTCACATTAGCCAGAAACTTATTTATCGCCAGTCTATCAACGGTATAACGCAAAACAGCGCATCGTATGATTAAAACGGATGATTTGACAGTCATCACTACCCCTTCATCATGAGAGAATTCTCTACATAGTTGTGATGGCAGTACAGTTGAGCTAGTACTCGGCGAGAGTGGAGGTTAATCGAAATAGATTTTTACGGCTAGCAACTTTTAGCTCGAGTAGTTGGCCAGAAATTCGACATTTTACCAATTGCCAAGCTTTCTGCATATATTTGATCTTCCTCAGGGTGTTATTGACTGTTACAATTGTGACATTGTGTAAGTTGGAATTATTTTGTCATCAAAAGTAGAATCTTTGTTTGTTAATACATTACCAGAATTCTGTAATGGAGATGAATTTTATAATTTATCCTTTTGAAAATCAAATTCACACTTCGCCAGTCAAATTCACTCTTTTGCAAATCAAATTTCCCCATTGCGAGTCAAATTCACACTTTTGCAAATGCAATTCACCTTTTTGCAAATCAAATTCCCACTTTGCTAGTCCAATGCTCTCATTTGAAAATCAAATTCACTCTTTTGCAAATCAAATTCCTCCTTTGCCAGTCAAATTCACTCATTTGCAAACGCAATTCACCTTTTTGCAAATCAAATTCCCCCTTTGCCAGCCAAATGCTCTCATTTGCAAATCAAATTCACTCTTTTGCAAATCAAATTCCCCCTTTGCCAGTCAAATTCACTCATTACAAATCAAATTCACTCTTTTGCACATGCAATTCACCTTTTTGCAAATCAAATTCCCCCTTTGTCTGTTTGTAAATAAAATCCCATTTGCAAATTAAAGTTAACCATTTTGCAAATCAATTTCACCCTTTTGCTAATCAAATTCACTCTTTTTCAAATCAAAATCACCATTTTCCATATTAATTTCAATTTAAATTTCAAAAGAGTGAAAACAACTTGCAAAAGGGTGAATTTAATTTACAAAACTTGTATGTCTTATTCCTGAGTTATTCAGACCAAGGCCTTAAACTTGGCCAACCTAACCCATCCTAAATTCAAAATTACCTGGTCAATAAAATCGAAGTCACGCTAATTTAATCATTCTACACTAGAAAAGAAAAAAAACACGGTATGAAAGACGCTTAAAAAGAAAAAGACTGATCTACAAGTAAATTAGAGATTATCGCATTTATGAGTTAATTCTAAAATAATTATGTACAAAATGTTGCGATATTTGTCACTCGTGATGAATGTCAGACGGAATAAAACTGAATCAATTGCCGCACCGACAGTGGAAAACAAAACTGGTCTGACCAAGGACAGCTTCTGCTTGTAGTACTCGGAGCCATTACATTAATTCATGGCCTAAAGACCGGATTAACATAAAACTAAATAGTAAAAATTAAAAGCACAATTGTAAACGCTGAATACGGAATGAGGGAAAATAAAGTGGTAAAAACTTCAGTGCCTCTAGAACCCGACGGTTTCCCATTTAAAAATTTGTTTCCTCAAAAGTAGGATGGGGGAGTTTTCGCCTTCAACCCAGTTGCAACATAAAGTGTTAAACCATTCGCATAGTCTCATTAGTCTTAAGTAAAAGTCAAAATCTAGTGAAAATATCAAAAAAGCGCATTGTCCCTCAAAGTTCTCTTTGCTCTTTACTTGAAGGTAGGAAAAAGCCGGCTGTTAGATAGCGAACATGCAGTTAAAAAGGTTTATTGCTGGTTTTCAAAATAAAGACAAATTTGGGAAATTTTTTCACAACTGATCCACGAATTTTGAACAATACTGCTTCAATACGGCTACTTTTTTGGAAAGAAAGATGCTTTAACATTATTATTATTATTCAGATATCGTGAGATGCGGTCGGGTGTGATGTAGGTTTCAGAAAAACATTTTCTTTATCGTGCCAAAGTTTCGATCTTTTATTGAGATCATCTTCAGGGCCTGGGATTTACAAACAATGTTTACATTTAACAAATACATTTAGGATGTGGAAAAGTGAATTTATACAATGCAAAATATATTTTATATTCAAACAAAGTATTTCTACTCACTCAAAGTGTTTGTCTTCTGTGTAATGGTGCCATCCTTGCGTGTCGTGTTGAGAGTGCCAGTGAGATTTTGCTGTTTTATGTTTATATATGTATAGTGTTGAAGGGGTGGGGAAGGAAGTCGGTATATAAAAGACAATTTTGTGTAAGGCGTCGGCTTCTTTGAAGTGACAAAAGCCGACAAAGGGGACCAATGTGTTGGTAATAGTTCGGCCAGATTGTCCTTTCAGGATTATATAGAAAGGGGATAAATAGGAAAAGGAAAGGTAAATTGTTGGAAAATTAGACTATGTGAAAAGTATTTGATGTGGGGAATGTAATGATATATGTATGTTATATATATTGTATTTGATTAATGATATTGGCGTAGCTGCGACTGAGCTTACATGTATCTGTTCTGTAATTGATGCTGTGTTTATCTCTGTTGATATAAACCATTTCTAAGAAATTACGTTTATATTTGTTTTGTTCTGTTTGTAATATTTTTGGATTTTTGAAGTCAAAATTGTGTTGGTGTTCAAAGTGTCTATGGGATTCACAACACTGAACATTATTAAAGATAAATGGCCCAACATAACACCACACACAACTCTATCAAAGAACACGTTCATACCAATGATCCGACACTGCTGTGTTAACGGACATTTTACATACGACAATCACTTTTACAAACAACTGTTTGGTATAGCCATGGGTAGCAACCTAGGCCCGATACTGGCAGACATAATCATGATACATCTATTAAATACAGTCATACCACAACTTCCTTTCACATTTCCCTTCCTCACTTAATACGTTGATGATATATTGACAGCAGTTCCCACAGATCAAATTCAAACTACATTAGATACATTCAATAGCTTTCACCCACGGCTACAATTTACACATGAAATCGAAAACAACAAAACAATACCATTTTTAGATACACTTGTAATAAAACAACCAGATGGCACATTAATCACAGATTGGTACCAAAAACCAAGAAACACAGATCGCTACCTCAACTTTAAATCTCACCATCCTCTTCATACAATAATAAACACGGCCAAAGGGTTACTTCACAGAATGATTACCCTG